CCATGGCCCCTCAGTCTTTTGACTGGCTTCATGCTGCCCTTTTCTTTTCTCAAGGACACTGAGAACAAGCCTTTGGGCAAGGAATGGCTCTTTCTCCTTTGAGGAAACACTTGAACCAAAACTGTGCACAACACTTGGCTTGCCAACCCTGCAGACCCTGCCAACCCTGGAGGCTTACCAACCCTTGGTGCTTCTTAAGCTGTATGCTTTACAGTCCAAGTGGCTGACTTACTTATTATATGTTCATACCCAGAAAAAGCTTGTGTGGTTTAGTGGTGTGGTGTGCAGCCCCCCAACCCCCCTGAACCACTTTAGTGCTGTGCTGCAGCATTTTTTAGGCATCAAGGTCTCATGTGGCTGCCTGTACCTGCCAATTGCCTGGGCAATGGCAACATCAAAAACTGAAAGCCAATCACCTTTTGTCAAGGAGGTGGCGACATCAAAAGCTGAAAGCCAGTCACCTTTGGGCAAGGTAGCACTGGAAATTGTTTTTACGGGATAGTAACCACTACTGTCCTGGACTCCCCTGTAAAGTGTGTTCTGTAGTAATTGTAATGCACTTATGACATTATGGCTCAAGCAAATCTGTGTGCGTACTTGGTGGCTGTTTGAGGCTGTTTAACCCGTAAATATAGGCTATCAGCCGTATCGCCGCACATTTTCCTTTTGTAACTAATGTCTGCCCCTTCTGGTAAACCATCACCAGAAGGCACTCGCCCATCCGGAGTTGTCGAAGCCATGGCCATTGAAGACGCAGACACGGACAAAACTGCAGAAGACGTTCCAGTCGGATCGGTCACACAGACTCCCCCCGAACGCTCTCGGAGTGATAAGCGTGAGGTCAACACCCTGATGTCTCGTGGCGCAACTTTGCCCCAGCCTGACGCAACTCGGTTTTCACACCGCGGGTACGACTTTCACGCATCCCGGGAGGGCATGCCAGCGAGCTCAGCTCATATGCATTTGAACCATACTGAGGTGCATCATCATGAAACAAGTGAAGTGCACAACACGATGAACCTCCAACAAGTTCAACACAATGAGATGCATGTGAATACTTATGATCCTGTTATTACACACATGGTGGTACAGGTTGCTGAAGCACGTCATCGTGAGGCTCTGGCCAATACCGAGCACATGGTTCAGACGATGGTATCCGAGATGAGCCGCAGGTTTCATGCCGAGGAAGACGCTGCAAGTGTCCGGATGCATCATTTGATGAAACTTGCAGAGAGTCGTGAAAGCCAATACCGTGAGGAACTTGCGCAACAAGGAGAAGTGTACAAAATGGTTTTGGACGGAAATGCCCAGACAATCGAACGCCACCAAGGACCAGCAGATTCAGGCACTGAAGGACCACTATGAACGACAGGACGAAAGCCGGAAGATGCAATTGTCGCAGCTTGAATCCATCATCCAGCAACAGAGTGAGCAGATCAAAGCCCAACAGTTGCAAACCGAGTCCATGAACATGAGGATGAGTAAACTCCTGAATACCTTAGGTCCATTACCTGTCCCAATTGTCCAGACTGCCACTGCCACCATCCCGCCGACAACTGAGGTCAAAATGACTGCACCGCTGAGTTCGTTTGCATCCGCAAGTGCGTCCAAGCCTGCTGCACCAAACCAAGATATATGGGAAATAACCTGGGGACGACCCTCCAGGCGACGATGATTCGAAAGGTAGTGAAGCACCTGGACATGACAAGAAGGACAAGCGTAGGAAGAAGCCCCCTCAGGGGTGCAGACGCCCACCGGGAGGTGGGCCCGGGGATGGAGACGATGATGGAGATGACGACGATGGTGATTCAGATGACAGTGACCGCAAATTCATCCGAAGAATGAGAACTCTGCTTGGCAATCCCAAAGGTCCGTCAAGTGACAAGAATAAGGTCAAAGAGGCAGACACTATCAAAGTGCCGGCATTCCCTCATGCAGAATCCTATAGGAATTGGAGAATCCGAACTAGGGAAGCCGTCATGTCAGCCTCAACCGACCCTTACAAAGCATTTGATTGGATCAGTGAGACATGGAAGGAAGGTCAAACATTAGAGGTTCTCCGAGACGTAAGTAAATTTACCACTCTGGATGCAAAGCTGTTGTCAGCCCTCACCAACATTCTCACCGGTGATTTCGCTCGAAAGGTTGACACCTATAAAGAGACTGAGGCTACCAGCCATAGGTATGTCAGGGGTCGCCAGGTATTGCTTATGATGCATGAACACTTTTCAGTACCAATATCAAACATGGTGCGACGTATTCCCTGCAAGATCTCTTCAGCGTCAAACTCAAAGGTGACAATCTTCGTGGGTTCATCAGTAACTGGGATCAAGTCATGGCTGGAATTCCAAAAGTGCCGGAGATCAGTATTCTGGAAACTCTGTTCTTTAACCAAGTTGAAAACAGCAAAGCCATTGCACACGATCTGCAGGAGTATCACCGTGCCGAGGAAGGGCCCGAAAAGAAGACCTACGATTTCCTCGTGACAGCAGCGCGCCGTCATTTGGACACAAAACGCCTCGAGTCCAACCGTGAACGAGTAGCAAGGACCCTCGGTGCCTCCTCATCGAGCGCTGCACCTGCAGTCGGCGAGAAGACGGGGTACATTCCAAAGGGGTACTGTGTCAAGTGGAACAAAGGCACGTGCACTAACGACTCCTGCACATACAAACATGAGAAACCTCCTCCAAAGAAGGATAGAAGTCAGTCAAGACCGCCCTCTGAAAGAGGCAGATCACCATCCAGGGGTAGACATGAAAAGAACAAGAAGTAGCAGCCATGCAAGTTTTGGAAACAAGGCAGATGCAATAGAGGTAGTGAGTGTCGATTTAGCCATGAAGGGAAGCAATCAAAATCTCCCCGTGCCGCGACTCCTGCCCGGCCGTCATCGAATGACTCGAAAGGATCAAGACGGAAGAACAGCAGGAGCCCAGGCAAAGGCAGGGATCGTTCTCCGAAGCAGAAGGGATCTAGGAGTCCAAGGAACAGCGGTTCCCCAAAGGGGAATAAGAGTAAGCCTGAAACGCACAAAGCATCCCCACGGCAGCGGCTGTTTGCCTGATTGCATCGATGCCTGCATCCGTTTCCAACGCATGCCTGCTGCCACCTACCCATGTGGTCAGCTGCCCCGCAGTGACATTCAGCACCAATCACGACGTGTTTCAAGTCATTGCCGAGGGGGATCTTGTGCCTGTCAATCCAGCATCAAGGAAGTATAGACGAACCTGCCCAATTGGTTATCCATTTGATTTTGATAAGAGGGATAGGGAGGACGCATGCCTGTCGGCAAACATGTTAGCTGGCGCAGTCAGGAATTCGTTGATGAACAAGTACTGTAAATGCAAGTATGAATGTGACACCATGTTTGGGTGTGATCATTGTATTCCCAAAGGGATTGTTGCTATGCCGGCCAAGTCTGAAGAATATGTTGACGGATGTTTTGAAGCCTCCATTGATTGGATAGTTGATACTGGTAGTGCTCAGGACCTTCTCACTGATCACCACGTTCCTGACCACTACGGGTACTATTCTGACAATCCAATCCGTCTCATCACAGCCAATGGGGAAAGTTCGTCCATGAAGCAAGGCAAGGTCAAGGTTCCTGAGTTGAATGCCACTGCGTCACCGTACCTAGTGCAAAGTTCACCTCCTGTTTTATCAGTTGGTCTTAGGTGCGTAGAGGACGGATTTGACTTCATCTGGAGGGGCTCCAAGAACGAGAAGCCACGTTTAGTTTCACCTAATGGGCAGGTCATCGAACTTGAAGTCAGAGACTATGTCCCGTACCTGTGTTCCAAATCGAACCAAAAGAATGTGTCAGCAGTTGCCAAATCCAACCATGATAGAACTCCTCTGCAAAGAGTGAAGGTTATGGCTAGTTCATCTAGGCCTGAAGTAGACGACATCGAGGATGATGTGCCTCCATCTCCCGATTATTATGACGAGGATTATGAAGATGATGAACCCGCTATAGTAGGTGGTAGTTCCTCAAAGCCCGATGATGACGACCTTGTGCCCGACATTTCAGGTGACCCCGGAGCTGATGCGCCGTCCGACGAGGAAGGTGTGATATCTGCTGACCGGGAGGTCCAGCCTGAGGATGATCGTCATGATCCTGAAATGGAAAGACGTAGGGAGAGGGGAAAGACTGCATTGAAGGCCGAAGCCAAAAGTAAGCGACATATGTTGACTCATGCCCCCAAGAATCCTTATTGTGACGTCTGTACGAAGGCCAAGATGCACAAACAACCAGGATACTCAAAAGGGGTTCATCCATGGTCGATGCAAAGAAGTTCGGGGATCATATCACTGGTGACTACCTAATTGCCAAATCAGACCCTGATTCGGGAATAGACAATGATCGGGTCGCTATATATGGTATTCAAGGATATAGCCACTGATTTTCGATATGTGTATCCTGCAGGACGACGGGATACTTCCAACACTACTCTTGCAGTGAAACACTTTGTCGATGACTTGGAAAAGGTTGGGATCTTCTACAGTGATAATGCCCCAGAAACTGTTGCTGCTATGAGAGCGATGAAAGTAAGGCACTTTAAGGACCAAATCAGTAGAGATTACATAACATAACAACATCCAATGCCATCGCCGAACGTGCTGTGCGTTCAACGTTGGAAGGAACCCGATCGAACCTGGTGCAAGCCGGACTTCATCATGGATACTGGCCATATGCTGCCAGACACTGGTGTATCATGCGCGACACTGCACCAGATGGGTCTGGAAAGGACACACCATGGAAGTTAAGGTTTGGGACTGACTTCGAAGGACCACTGATCCCGTTTGGATGCAAGGTGGACTATTGGACCGGACCTAGGAAGAGACCCAAGAAACAAATAAAGTTCGAACCGACCACTGAGCCAGGTATATTCCTAGGACGCGTGATCCATCCAGGCTTCCATTGGAGAAAAGAATTCGCAGTAGCCTCATTGAAACAAATCAACGATGCAGATTTTGATCAATCCGTCACAGTATTGAGGGTAATGAAGGTATCAGTCCCCGAAAACATTGAGTTTCCCTGCCGCAAGCGTGCCGATGCTATCCGTGAAGGTCGTTTGAGGCCTAACCAACTGTGTGGTGATGAAGAAGATGACTTGCCGCCTTTGGAAGAGCAGGATGCTCAGCCTGCGCGGGAGCCAGGCCCAGTTAGACGAACAATCAAGGACATCGAAGCTGGGCAGCCTGCCCAACCATCAAGTGCATCCGCCATATATCACAAAAGATGGTTTGAAATTCTCAAACATGTTGACTTCAAGGAAGCTTGGTACGAGTATGCAGATTGCAAAGTCAACATCCGAATCATTGACAACCAATGCATCGGTCCCTCCTCCGACTTCAGTGCAAGCGATTCTCCTTTCCGGACCACATGCATTAAGGATGATGACTCTTGGCACGTTCATGAAGAACACCTGAAGATTGATCCTCCAGTCGAAGATCTTGAGGAAAGCATCGAACTCCATGAAGTGATTGCAACTATAATCTCAAAAGAACCCATCGACCTGAGGAACCGTGTCGACGAGCCATCGTATGAGGAGGTGCCAGCAGGTGAGGTTGAAGTCATCAACCCAACGACAGGGGAAATCGAAAGAATTAGAACTGATGATCCCTGATCGAAGGAAGTTTAGAAGTCAAACTTCCGACAATATGGACAGATGAAAAGCAGAGCAGGGAAGAGACAGAGAGAAGAGGAAGATTAGAAGAAAGAAGAGTAGAAGAGAAAGAGTAACCCTAAGTCTCGAAAGTTAGTAATTTTACTCGCCCAGAATTTTACGTAAAATCGACTGTTTTACTAACGTTATTTTACGTAAAATTTTACTAACGTTAGTAAAATTTACTAACGTTAGTAAATTTTTACTAACGTTAGTAAATTTTTACTAACGTTAGTAAATGATTTTACTAACGTTAGTAAAATTTTGCATGTCGTAAAAAAAGTTAAAAAATGTTCTTATTTAAATAAAAAAAATCAGGATTGTGATATTTTTTGGGATGTGTGTCGTGTGTGGTTATGGTGTGTAATGATTTGGTTATGAATGTGGTGTTTCCACTGGAGGATTTCAATCGATATGTTGCTGTTTCTGTAGTAGGATCTGCACTTATGTGTTGAGGAAGGACTTTACATGAGTTTGTACTGGAGATTTTATTCGAGGAGTTCTTGATGCTTTCTTGGTGTTTTACTTGAGAATCTACTTGAGATTTTATGAGAATTCATGTATAATAAATATCTGTATTATGTGTGACTTTACTTGGGGTTAGCAGTGTTGCATCTGGATATATAATGTTCTTGTTCATGTTTTGTTTGACTTTTGGAGAGAAATCAATGTTCAGTGGCATGGCAGGGTAGTTTATGTTGCAGCCATTTGGGTGTGAAGTGTGTGGCATCTGTGAATCTGTTCATTGCCATGGCTGCTTTGGCTGCAGGAGTGAAGCAGAAGGAGGACCAGGCTGCTTTGGAGAGGTCTCTGAAGCAAGGCACTAGGGTGCGCTTGCTGGCAGACAGAGGCATCTCTGCAGCTGCTTTGCAATCACAGCTTGGTGAGTTCTTGCGCTTCCAGAAAAGCAAGGACCTGTGGTGCTACATAGCGCCACCTCCAACAGGTCCACAGCAATATGGGTGGCATACTTACCCTCATCCAGAATGGCTAGCCAAGACAGCTCCCATGCTCTACGATTTGGTTGGTCTTGCACCCAACACAAAGTTGCAAAGCAGCAAGTTAGTCACCTGCCTCAAAGGCTTGATGGATTCGAACGAGTTGGAAGTCCAAGTGAAACAGGGTCGCTCTGTCCAGGACACTTTGGACCAGTTAGATTTGACCATCAGGATTCTCCTGAATATGGTGCGCACAGTGAAGTGTCAGGAGCTTCAAAGAATCAAAGTGCAGAGATCTCTTTCCAAGCAAGATTGGATGAAGATTGAGCTTGTGCTTGATCGTGTCAAGCTTCCTGCTGAGTTGATGGCTGCTGGCTCTTTGGGCGCACTTGAGGAAGAAGAGGTTCCTCTGCGTACCATTTGTGCCACTAGCAACATGGATGGCCAAAGAGACGCCAGCCCTGTGTCTTCCTCGAGTAGTGTGCTTAGCTTGGTGCCTTACCAGCCTGTGAAGTAGCAGAAGCAGCTAGGAGCTTCCCTTTCGCAGCTCAGGTCTCTGCCTGCTGTGTTTCAGAAATTTGAAGACAAGGACAAAGAGGTGCTTGCTTCTTCGGCTTGTGTGCCATCTATGGGTGGTAGCATCAATGTGGACCAAGTCTTGGCTTCTGCCAATGTTTACGAAGCAAAGGCTGCTAGCTTGCCCTTGCCCAAGCCCAAAAGGAAAGCAGAGCAGAAGAAGAAGAAGAACAACCATGCAAAGAACAAGAAGAAGAGTAAAGCCAAGAAGGCTTTGCAGAAGAAAGAGGCTCTGCAAGTGTCTAAGACTAGCAAGAAGCCAGCTCAGAAAAAGCAGGCTGCGCCTGAGGAGACAGATAAGTTGTCTTCTACCTACAAGGCTGGGGAAATGACCCAGCAGCGGGATCTGTACATCAAGGAGCACATGGAGAGTGGTGATTGGTCTAGGTCGGAGGCATTGAAATCTTGGAGTACCTCACTTCGCAGGGCAATGTTGCTCAAGGATTTGACTGTGGCAGAGCTGGTGAAGAGACGCTTCGTGGCTTCAGGGACCCAGTCCAATCCCTTTGCTGAGCGTGTCAAGATGGCTTTGAATGCTCCCAATGTTGACTAGATCCATTTTTAGAATTGGAACTAAAGCATATGGGTTTTTAAAGCAGCACAGTTTCTTGCAAAAATGTGTATTTTCATGTGGATCTTGTTTTGGAGTGTCAGGGGACCTCGTGTGAATACTAGACACGAGCTTTGTCGTATCCGGCATCTGGGGAAATGATTTGGCTGAAAATGAGCTGGAGCAAGCTGACTTTACCTGAGACTGCTGTCAGTGAGTTTTACTTGAGACTGTTGTCAGTGAGCTTTACTTGAGACTGTTGTCAGTGAACTTTACCTGAGACTGCTGTCAGTGAACTTTACTTGAGACTGCATCCAATGAACTTTACTTGAGACTGTTGTCAGTGAACTTTACGTGAGACTGCATCCAATGAACTTTACTTGAGACTGTTGTCAGTGAACTTTACTTGAGACTGCAACCAATGAACTTTACTTGAGACTGTTGTCAGTGAACTTTACCTGAGACTGCTGTCAGTGAACATTACTTGAGACTGTTGTCAGTGAGCTTTACCTGAGGCTGTTGTCAATGAACTTTACTTGAGAACCTTGGGGTTTACCAGTGAAAATGATTTGTCAAGCTAGAAAATGGATCGACTTCAGATTAGTAAAAGCTCAGTGGTTTTATTTGGCTGGATGACTTTACTTGTGGTAGTTTTACTTGAGGAGTTCCTCATGCTGGTGCTGTGATTTTACATGAGGTCTGCTAAGACATTTATTTCTGCTGACTTTTTTACATCAGGACATGACAGTATAGAGGAAGGGCTTTACTCTAGGAGAATCCAGGACATCTAGAGTGACTTTGGAATAACCCCAATCATTTCAATTTAGTTCATACTTTAACCAATCTCAAGTAAATTCACTTATATAAAGTCCATTTATTTACACTAACCTGATGTAAATCATACTCATGTAAATTTCAAAGGCATAAAATTCCAACAGGCAAGAACACTAACCTTTTTTCAGTAGCTTCCTGATAACAACACCATCATGTGGAACAGTGTCAGCCGCCCCAACATGTACACACTGGTTGTACACAATGTGGACTACAATGCAAGAAAATTCGACCCTTGCATTGAGTAGCTGAAAATTTTCTTTTTTGGCAGCAGGGAAAAGGGGAAGTATTGCAACCTCAAAATGAAAATGATGCAGTAATTTGAAGTCATTTTAACAATTGTTTGCCCCATACTGACCTCAGGAAGTGCGACAAGCTTTGCAAGACTTGGGTGTGGAGGTGGACAACTTGAATGAAATCCAGCTATGCAAGGTTCCTACTTGGAAGGAGCAAATCACCATGCGCCTAGAACGAACAGAACCTGATCACCAAACTATGTTTCTGCACTTTACTAGCTCAACGAGCAAGGAGCAGGTGAAAGCATTGCTGGGTGGCCAATGGGTTGCAGGAATTTCGAAACCCAACAACCAGAAAAGAGACTGTGCTGGTGGTAGAATCATTTTCATATTGTTACATGAGTTCTATTCTATTGTTATCTCCATCTGGTTCTAAGAAACTGGTTTCAATAACGGTTTAGGGTAGCACCATCTGGTTCCATTGAAGTTATATATTTATATATGTGTATATGTTTATTTATAGTTATAGATTATAGCTCATATTTTGGAATCATTTTTTTTTGGCAGCTACTTTGTCCAAGGACTTCATGTGGAAGACTACGTCAGCCGACACCCTGGGATCATTCCAGCTGCATCTAGAGCCCGTCCTGTGGCACCTACTGGTTATCCAGAGCAGCAGCAACATGGATTTTCTGCAGGGTTCAATATGCCTATGGCTGCAGGCCTTCCTACCAGTCCTACCCTGCCAGTTTCTCCCATGGAGTGGGCACCGAGGCCTCCAGCAACATGGTTGCCACATGGACCTCCTTTTCCTGGACAGTTTCATCCACCTTGTGCGTCAGGTGGTCCAGTTCCTGAGCCAATGCACCCTCCAAGTTGGATCAGTCAGCCCATGATGTCGAACCCACACCTGCCCCGTGCACCTGCAGTTCCTGTTCCTGAGCCATTGAATCCTCCCAGCTGGCATGGCCATCATGTACCTAGAGCTGCTGGAGGTGGACAGCCCCTAGGCATGGTATCGAAGGTTCATGGAGCTGGACTTGGAGCGCCATGCACTGCACCAAGTTCATCAATACCCTCGCCACCTGAGATAAAGGCTTGTCATCCTGCACCTGCTCCCAGCCAAAGCCCAGGGCTACGTCCTTCGAAGGACTTGGTTTTTTGCTTATTATTTTTTTACACCTGAAGATATTCATGAATTTGACCCCAATAATTGATTTCCAAGATATGGCTACAGTCAATACCTGGGTTTCTGTTAAACTAATGTGTTTTTTGAATGCTGGGTTGGGGAACATCAATTCCAGGAAGAAAACCATCCAGAAAATCATGATGGCAGAGCTAGTCACCAAGATGATGAGAGGCAGTCTGAACCTGAGGAAGATGGCAATGACAGTGAGGAGTACTCACAGGTTGAGGTCGCAGTAAAGCAAGGAGACATTGACGCCCTCTACAGGATCATGGCAAGTCTCGACATCCAGGTGGGTACCGATGCACCTGAGCAAAGGTCAAGGAAGAAGAAAAAAAAGAAGGCTACTCGAGCAATTTCCAGGTCGAGATCTAGGAGACGACGGAAAAAGAGAAGATCTTCCAGTACATCAAGTTCAAGGGAGAGAGCTGAAGATGTGCATCTGGGAGAGGATCCACCAGATCTGACAGCAGACCCTTACCCTGTGCAGGAAAGCCCGGTATATGAGCCCTTCGAAGGTGAGGATGACATCAGCCTGGCAAGAGACCTTCAGAGCTGGTTGAATGCCTGATAGCTGGCATTGGCATGTGGAAAAAATAAGTGCTGCTGCTGTTCACTGAGGTTGGCTTTACATGAGAGCAGATCTTGCACCCAACTTTTGTGCATAAAGACTTTACTTGAGAATGTTGACCCTGTACTTTACTTGAGGCTGCATCCAGTGAAATTTACTTGAGAATGTTGACACTGCACTTTACTTGAGGCTGCATCCAGTGAACTTTACTTGAGACTGTTGTCAGCGAACCTTACTTGAGACTGTTGTCAGTGAACTTTACTTGAGACTCAATCCAATGAACTTTACTTGAGACTGTTGTCAGTGAGCTTTACCTGAGGTTGTTGTCAATGAACTTTACCTGAGGCTGCTGTCAGTGAGTTTTACTTGAGACTTTTGTCACTGAGCTTTACCTGAGGCTCTTGTCAATGAACTTTACCTGAGGCTGTTGTCAGTGAACTTTACTTGAGACTGTTGTCAGTGAACTTTGCCTGAGGCTGTTGTCAGTGAACTTTACTTGAGACTGTTGTCAGTGAACCTTACTTGAGACTGTTGTCAGTGAACTTTACTTGAGACTATTGTCAGTGAACTTTACTTGAGACTGTTGTCAGTGAACTTTACTTGAGACTGTTGTCAGTGAGCTTTACCTGAGTTTTTTGTCAATGAACTTTACCTGAGGCTGTTGTCAGTGAATTTTACTTGAGACTGTTGTCAGTGAGCTTTACCTGAGGCTGTTGTCAATGAACTTTACCTGAGGCTGTTGTCAGTGAATTTACTTGAGACTGTTGTCAATGAACTTTACCTGAGGCTGTTGTCAGTGAATTTTACTTGAGACTGTTGTCAGTGAGCTTTACCTGAGGCTGTTGTCAATGAACTTTACCTCAGGCTGTTGTCAGTGAATTTTACTTGAGACTGTTGTCAGTGAGCTTTACTCCAGGCAAAAATGTCACTGAACTTTACTTGAAACTGACTGCATGCAGCTTTTTTTTTCAGAGAAAATCTTAACATTTTATCTTTTTTCCAGCAAAAATCTCATGAATTACTGATGCACTTTTGATGCACTTTTGATGCACTTTTAAAAAGTGCATCAAAAGGCAGTAAAAGTGCATCAAAAGTGCATCAAAAGTGCATCACTTTTAAAAGTGCATCAAAAGTGCATCAAAAGTGCATCAAAAGTGCATCAGATTTTTGGTGAGTTTTCAAGCATTTTCTCCTGACAAAATAAAACATCTTTAGGCACATGTCAAAAATCTATCCATCTGGCATTGAAAGTGGAGTAAGGGTCTCAATGAGACTTCCTTGGTGTATCTTTTGCAGCCAGCCAAAGTACCAGGATTTCCTCCAGCCATAGTGCCAGGATTTCCTCCTCCAGACCTCCAGGCCTTCCCCAGACCTTCTCCAAAGTATAGGGAAGGAGTTTTACTTCAGGAGAATCCAAGACATCTAAAAAGGATTTTCTTTGAACTCAACTCATTTCAATTTAGCTCATGTCAATCCATCTCAAATAAATTCATATGGGGATATCTCCAAATATGGAGGCTCCAAAGCTAAATTATAAATAAAAGGAAGCAAGGGTTTGGCCCCCCCTATTTTGAGACATCCTTATTTATATAAAGTCAATTTATGTAAGTTGGTCAAGGTTTGTAGCAAGCAAACCTAATCCAGTAAAGTGTTTTCACTTTCCTTGCCTGGAAAAAATGGAAAGATGTGGTTTTTTATATGTTTGATGTTTCACCTAGTCTCATGTAATCAGCAACTAATCTTTACTTTCTTTTTGAAGTGTAAATGCTTTTCACTGACTTCTTAAAGTCAAGATCCAATGTACATGCCCTTTGTGGATTCACCTATACTTATGTAAATACAGTTTGCCTCTGTAAATCTAGTTTTTTTGTGGTAGCTCCCAAAGTAAATTCCTTATTCTAATTTACCTATACTGAAAGATTTTACTTGTGTTGCTGAGCAAAGTTTTGATACTTATGTAAATTCAGTTTTTATATAAATCCAGTTTTTATGTGGTAGCTCCCAAAGTAAATTCCTTATTCTAATTTACCTATACTGAAAGATTTTACTTGTGTTGCTGAGCAAAGTTTTGATACTTATGTAAATTCAGTTTTTATATAAATCCAGTTTTTATGTGGTAGCTCCCAAAGTAAATTCCTTATTCTAATTTACCTATACTGAAAGATTTTACTTGTGTCTCTGGGCAAAGTTGTGATACTTATGTAAATCCAGTTTTTATATAAATCCAGTTTTTATGTGGTATCTCCCAAAGTAAATTCCTTATTCTAATTTACCTAAACTGAAAGATTTTACTTGTGTTGCTGAGCAAAGTTTTGCAAGCCACTGCACTGCACCAATGGGTTTCATGCATTGTCTTGCTATTTCATTGCAGGATTAAATATTTTGCACAGTGGAAATTGTCGCCAAGGACCCCAGCAGCTGCGCCATGGCTTCGGAGGAATCCCTTCCAGCTCCTGGCACTCCAGGTCCTTCTGAGCCTGGAGCAGTGGAGCCTGGAGAAGTGGAACCTGGAGAAGTTCAGCCTCCTGGCAGCAGGAAGAGACCTGCAGCTAGCAAAACAGCTGTGACTCCCAAGAAAGCTGTGACTCCCAAGAGACAGCCCAAGCCAAAGGCTGTGACTCCCATGAAGTCTATGAAGAAGGCAAAGTCGGCAGCTAGCCCCAAAGGTTCTCCCAAGGCCAAAGCCAAAAGCAAAGCCATGGCAAAGTCCAAGGGCGACAAAACGAAAAAGCACACCCTCAAGAGGCCTGCAGCTGTTGTGCCTTTGAAGCGTCCAGCTGCAGCACCTGCTGCCCAAGCAGGAAAGTCAGCCAAGGGTTCGTCCATGGAGTGGGCAGTCAAGTTGCAGGTTGAAGAGCAGAAGGCTGAGAAGGACTTTGAGGAACATGGAGAAGAAGAAGAAGATCCAGGTGCCGATGACATGGAGGTAGACCCAGCAGAGGCCAACTTCCGGGTGGAATCCGAGCACAAGGACAGGAGCAAGAATGCTAAGTTCAAGAAGATGTTGAAAGATGGCCAATTGCCCAAGTGGGCAGTGGATGCCTGGAACGCCTCGTGCCAGTTGTCCACAGGGCGACCTGCTGCTCAGAGGAAGCTTGTGAACGCCATCATCTCCAGAGAAGATGCCACAGGCAAGCTGGCCTTGAACTTGACCAACCCAGTCTTGGATAAGTTGAAGAGCACCTACCAGCGCCATGAATCCAAAGACAGCCACAAAGCCCTGCCAAAGACTTTGTTTTGTGGCAAGTTTAACTTGAGCGAAGATGCCTTTCAAGTTGGCTTGGCTGCTGGTGAATTCCAGGAAGTGATTGGCAAGGACGGCAAAGTGCGATACAGTTGGCAGGTGCAAGAGCACACAGTCTCAAAGGGCAGTGATTCCAGAGTGACCCTCAAGAGTGAGAGCTACTTGACCAAAAAAGATGCAGCTTTCGAAAAGGCACGTCTTGATGGTCCCTTCATTGGCCTTTTTGAGAAGAATAAGGGCCAGCTCGCCATTGCAGGCCCAACTGGGCAGCTTGCTTTGTGCGACAAGGAAACTGAGTTGACAGCTGAGCTTTGGACTCAGGCCCAGTCCCAGCTCAGTGCAGCCATGAAGTTCTGGGACAACCACATCAAGGAGGCCAAAAGGTTGCTCCAGCAAGTAGGTGGTGACAACCGCGAAGATGAGTTGTACAATGAGCTGCTACTCATCTGTTCTTTGATTTTACTTCTGCTTGTGTATTTTCATTCTTCCCCTTTTCATCACATATGAATTACATCCTGTCTTCATAAACTCAGCTCATGTAAACCTAAGCTCAATACTTTCCCTATATAGATTTCCAATTCATCTTTCAAATAAACTTCTCACATAGTGACTCATTCCCTCCTCCTATGTCAACATACAGCTCCTAGTCAGGAAAGACATCACTCAAAGTCTCCAGAAGGAGAAGGGCATCTTGGATCACATTTGGCAGTGGAAAGAAATCCCAGACAAGATTGGCACGCCCCTGACAGTGAAGAACTACGATGACACCATGTGTGCTTCTGGCATTGCTGGTGAGGCTCTTGAGCTTCGTCTGGCAGGTGCTAAGGGTCAGGCCACTGCCATTGCAGCTCGCCAGCGCAAGAACATGGAGAAGTAGGGTGCCTGCTGATGGGCAAAGATCTAGGAAAGCAAGGATGTTCACGTCCGTTTTGGCTTTACTTTTGAAGATGAAAAGATGACTGCCAGCTCTAGGTACTGAGCATTTGGCATCTGGCATTGCTGGTGAAGTGCAAAAAGACTATTTGCCTCTGTCTGCAGCTGCTGCTATGTTGACTTTACTTTAGAAATTACACAGGAGCTGATACAAATTATGAGTTTCTCATTGTATTGCATTCACATATGGTTTTTTACTGATCAGTACCAAAGAAGTTCATAGCTGTTGGCTTCACTTGACTCATGGCATGTGGCATTGTCTTGAATTTTACTTTTGACTTTCGACTTGTCTAGAATTTACTTTTGGGGTTTGAATGCTCTTGAACTTACTCTTGTGCCTTGCATTCACTTCTAGTTTCCTACTTGGTTTGAATTTACTTTTGAGCTTTGACTTATTTTGAATTTACTTTGGAGCTGTGACTTTTCTTCAATTTACTTTTGAACTTTGACCCCTGTTGACATCATTTATGCTATCTTACTTGTCTTTGCTTCACTAGTGGGCTTTCATTTCTGTGTTGACTTTACTTATGGCCTTTCCCTTCTGTAAGCATCACTTTTCTGAATTGGTTCCTGATGACAAAAGATCCTAAATCAATGGAAGTCCTTCAATACCCCTCATCTGAAAAGACTAGGGCTCAAAGTAAGTGGAGATGGTACAGTACTTCTTTTATCAATTCAAGCACTGACTCTTATAAACCACTAAAAATATATCACGAAGAAACAAGTAGTGTTGAAGCTGTCCAAGAAACTTTACCTGGGACACTTGCAAAGATACCTCTAGAGGCACTCTCATCTATGGTGGTCTTTACATAAGAAGTAGACCTCTCATCCAAGCTTTTCAATATAAGAACCCTCGGTTCAAAGCTGTCTGCTTGAAAGTGATTTAATTCACAGATTCGTCACCATTTTTGACTTGTTTCACCACATGGAGCCAGCCGCCAAGAGGCGAAAGAGAGGCCTCCTGCAAAGACAGGAGGCAGCTCGTTCCTCTGTACAGGAGAAGAGTGCCTTACATGAGCTACTTATGTCCTTGCTAGCACAAGGTATTCTATCAGGGACCTTATGCCACAGCATCGCTGTAGCAGCAAAGAAAGATATTGAGAAAATCAAAGAGGACAAGGAACTGCCAGACTTGGACAAGTTGGCTGGGCTCAAACAAGGAAAGAATTTGATTCGATCCGTTTATGGAAATTTGGAGAAGTCCAGCAATCTTCCTGCTCCTTTTCCAGTGGAAATTCCATACAAGGATGGAGCCCATGCAGGGAACATTTTGTTGCCGCATGAATATTTTGCTGCCATGTATGAGAATGACAAACATTGGAAATCTTCAATCCTGGGTGATTGCCGCACATTGGAGAAATTTTGGACGACTTTTGACACTCATCCCTTGATGAAAGACAATCCACTGAAGAGAATTCCTGAATATACAAAAACATTGATTCCTTTATCCTTACATGGAGATGAAGTGCCTGTCTTCGGGGTAGGCAAAATTTGGGCCAGATCTGTGTTATCTTTCAGTTGGACTTCCATCTTAGCCAATGCCCTTGGAGCAAGTGCTGAAGAATGCACCATTTACATCTGGGGAGTCTTTGAAAAATTCGTGGTACAGGATGAGGGAGATGTCTTGGGAACCATGTCAACTTTTTTCTCTGTTCTCCGATGGAGTTTCCAGGCACTCTTGGATGGTGTGTGGCCTGCAAGGGACTGGAGAGGCATCAAGTTTCCCAAGAGTTCCAAAGATGGGCGAAAAGCAGGCCAGCCCCTGGCAGGCGGCTACAGAGCATGTTTGCTTCAACTCTGCGGAGATCTGGATTATTTCCAGAAGTGGTTTGGCATTCCTCAAAGTACCAATCACTTGAGTCCATGTTGTCAGTGCAAAGCAACATTTCGAGGCAACACATCCTGGTTGGATAACAGGCCTGGCTCACCATGGCAAGGTTTGCTGCTGAAAAATCACGACTGGACTGAACATTGGCAGAGTACTTCAGCACTTTTTCATCTGCCTGGCTTCAGCTGTTGGTCTGTGGCTCTCGATCTGATGCACAATTTTTACTTGGGTTGGTTGCAGTTTTTGTATGGAAGCATAATGTATCTTCTATGCTTTCAAATTCTTGACGGTGATGAGTTGGCGAATTTGCATCAAATTGCTATGTTCATCAAAAGATTTCAGCAGGGCGACAAAACTCAGCACAAGTTCAGGCCAAGGCTAATGTTCGTGAAACAGAAGGGATTTCCAAAGCTGAAGGGGCGTGCAGCTGACATACGAAGCCTTCATTCTGCCATGTTAGCCTGTTGGAGTCATTACATGGATGCAGCCAACCAACAACATTTACAGATTTTGGCGCTTTTGCAAATAAATTCTGAGCTTCACAGTGTCCTGGATCGATTTTCACCCAAAATGGGCTATCTGGCTTTACCTGCACATGTGCATGCAGAAATCGTTCCAAAGTGCTTTCAAATGGTGCAGCTCCATGTACAGCTACAAGACCACTATTCAGGAACTGA